CTGAAAGTGGAGCTTTGGCTCAAAGTGCTAGAGCACTAGAGCGCTAGCCTTGAGTGAAAGAGCTCTGGGACAGCACCCACGTCCTGAGTTCAAGCCCCATGACTGATAAAACAAAATAGAACAAAAAAAAACCTAGCAACAAACAAACAAAAAATCCTCAACTGGCGGAGGGCGTGGCTTGCGTGGTAGAGCACTTGCCCAACACGGGACAGGAGGCTCTGGGATCAATCCTCAGTGTACAAAGAAGATTTGGAAAGAAGAGTTCTTCATCCTCTACTCCACACCCCCAGACGCGGGCATGGGCCCTCCCGCCGCCATGGTTCCCAGCAATTGTGCATACGCTTCTGCTCCGGTTGTTCTGTAGACCCCATGAGTCACACCTTTCTGTGTCAGGAAATATCACCTCCCTCCTCAGCCAACCCCCAAACCTGCACACCCCACAGGGCCACTCAAACCCAGTCCTAGAGCCAGCTTCCGCCCCTCTCCTGCTGGTGGCATCCCCTCAGGGACTGCAGGGGCCCTGGCAGGCGCGGCTCACCAATGCTCTCCGTCTGCAGGTAGCACTTGGGGCCCAGGCAGTACCGCCACAGGCCCTGGTGAGCAAAGGACCCCGACAGCCGGTACTGCATCCAGTGGTCCGTGGCCGTGGACACCACCAGCAGCACGGTCCCCACCCAGGCACAGAAGAGGCCGCCACCCATGAAGCTGTACATGGTGACCTGTGGAGGGACAGATGGCAGACACAGGGGGGCACTGGACTCAAGGGACCTAGGAGAGAGGGCCTGGGGCTTGGATTCAAGTCTGACAGAGGAGGCTGGGGCCTGGATCCTCTGGGTCTGAGGGAGGAGGCTGGGGCCTGGACTCCTGGGTCTGAGGGAGGATCTAGGCCTGAGGGAGAAGGCTGTGTCTGGACTCCTGGGTCTGAGGGAGGAGGCTGGAGCCTGGACCCCTGGGTCTGAGGGAGGAGGCTGGGGCCTGGACCCCTGGGTCTGAGGGAGTCGGCTGGGGCCTGGACCAGTGGCTTACAGGAAGAGGAGGCTGGGGTCTTTGGCTGTCTGATCTGTGGTAAGAAACAGGCTTGGATCTGAGGCCCTGAGTCCTAGCTGAGGGGTGGGGATGGGGGACCCCTGGGAGGGGAGGGGGCTGCAACACCCCTCTCTTGAGGACGATCGGCCCACGTCTGGTGCCTACCTGTGTGGCAGAGCCCGTGCAGAGCCCTCCTTCCGCCACAGCCCCTCTGTGCAGACTGAGCCGAGCCAGGTCTCTGTCCTCCCTGTCCTGCAGGTCCCCAAATCCCTTAAGCTCCCCCCTACAATAGACCCATGAGCCACACACACAATGGGCCCCGGGGTCCAGTAGCTTCTAGTGGACAGAAATGCAGTGGTGGCAGAGGCTCCAATGGGAATCGCTGAGGCAGGGATGCTGATGCCCCTCCCCCCCATGGCCCCTCCGGCCTCTCCGTTCCCCGCCCCGCCCCCCCACAGCCCCTCTGGCCTCCCCAAGCCCTCCCTGCTCCTCACAGCACCAGGCGGCCTGAACCAGGAAAGAACTTGCCACCAACGCAGTGCTAGAAGACAACCATCCATTTATTGACCCACTGAGAAGAGCAGGGATACTGCAGGGTGGTGCAGGGGTCCACAGTGCAAGGAGTGCTCAGGGCAGAAAGGGTGAGGAGGCCCGGCCGGGCCCCAAGGAATGAGGATCAAGAAAGGAGAAAGGGGTCTGGATGGGTAAAGAAGGGGAGGGAAGAGTTGTGTGGGGGAGGGGTGGAAATAAGTCAGCAAGAGGCAGGGCTCTGGGGACAGAGGAGCTCTGGGGGACAGGTTGCTGGACCAGGTCTGGGAGTGGAGGTAGCGGGGACAGGTCTGGGACCCCCCCCATCCTGTGACAAGTGGAGACCACACTAGGTGGCCCCAGAACCCACTTCTGAGGCCCTGGACAGGATGTGTGTTGCGGTACCTCTGGTGGGCTAAGGTACCCCAACAAGGCCTCTCTGGGTGCTATGACTCAGACTCCCAGTCCTCAGCCGCGGGCCAGGGGTTTGTGCCTGGCTCCGGATCTCTGGATTCCTTGTCATCCTGGGCCGGGGCTGCCATCCTGGGGACCTTGGGGACAGCCCCGTCATCCCAAGCCCCGCTCCTCTTTGGCTGCTCAGCATCTTCAGCCCCCCACCGCGGCTGGCCCTGACTGGGAGCAGGCCTGTGTTGGACCCCCCGCCCTCCACGGGCCCAGCCCCGGCCCCGGCCTCGGCCCCGGGGTGTGGGGGGGCAGCTGGCCGTGGCCGGCTGGCCGTGGCCTGGCTGGGAGGCACAGGGGCAGGAGGGCAGGGACTGGTAGAGGCTGTAGGTCCCCATCAGAGCGCTGTGTAGGAGGTATGAGAGGGTGTCCAGGCGGATGGGGACGGTCACTGAGGCCAGGTGCTCAGGGAGCCCCATCTGCGCTGGGTTGGAGGTACCCAGGAGCCATGGTGGCAGGGCTGGGATGGTCCCTGGGGTCCGCAACTGGGTCCCAGGAGTTGGCAGGGACTGGTCGTTCCTAGAATGATAGGAAGACAGGTCAGCAGTGGGCCTTACCATTTGCTAGGCAGCCTCTTACCTGCACCATCTTTCCGGGTACAGAGAGCCAACCCTGCCATGGATGGCTTGTGTGTGTGTGTGTGTGTGTGTGTGTGTGTGTTCTGGCTTGAACTCGGGGCCTGGGTGATGTCCCTGAGCTTTTTCTGATCCAGGATGGCACTCTACCACGTGAGCCACAGCTCCACTTCCAGCCTTTTGGTGGCTCATTAGAGATAAGAGTCTCATGGGCTTTTCTGCCTTGGCTGGCTGGCTTCAAACTGTAATCCTCAAAACTTCAGTCTCTGGAGTAAACTGGGACTACACGCATGAGCCACCAGCACCCACTGAAGTTTTCATTTGTTTGGGGGTGGTTCACTAAGGCCTTGCTCACTCCAGCAGACAGGCAAGCTACCATTTTTTTCAACCTGAACCATATCTTTTCATATCCAAGGATGGCTCTGGGTTCCATCAAAGGTGAGTCTTTGAAGGACTGAGTTGGATAAGTATTGAATACATGTGGGCAAGTGGGTGCCACTGGCTCACGCCTGTTATCCTAGCTACTCAGGAGGCTGAGATCTGAGGATCACAGTTCAAAGCCAGCCTGGGCATGAAACTTCGTGAGACTCTTATCTCCAATGAACCACTAGAAAACGGGAAGTGGTGCTGTGGCTCAAGTGGTAGAGCGTTCGGTTCGCCTTGAGCTGAAGAGCTGAGAGACAGCACCCAGGCCCAGAGTTCAAGCTCCATGACCAACAAAAACAAACAAACAAAAAATGTGGGCAATTATTGTTTTCTCCTGCCCCACAGCTGTCCCCAGCTCCTGGTTGTTTGTTGTTGATATTTCTCTTGTTTGATAAATTTGGTTTCTACTTCCGTCCTGCCTCCCTCCCAGGTCGGCAAGGGCCTGCGCCTCTATGTGTGGAGCAGGGCCTTGGTTATCCTGATCACCCTGGGGTCTGCTCTGCCCCCGCCCCCCCGCCCTGTGACTGTCCCCTCCTCTGAGGGGGCGCTGGCTCCTTGGGGTCCCCGCTCACCCTTCAGATTCAGCTTTGTCTTTTTGCTGCTCCATCTTCACGAGAGAGTCTGAATTTCTTCTAGAAACTTCACCTCAGTTCTTCCAGCGCCCTTGGGATGTGGGGAAGGCCCGTAAAGGAAGAAGGCAGGAATTCGCCCACGTGTGCAGTAGGCCCGGGTCTGCCTCCGCCCCGGGTCTGCCTCCGCCATGCGTGCTCAGATTCAGCAGAATCTGGTCTCCTTCCGCGGGGGGGGGGGGGGGGGGGGGGCACCTGCGCAGACCCAGGGTCCAGACCCCAGCCTCCTCCCTCAGACCCAAGGGTCCAGGCCTAGTCTTCCCTGAGGCCCCGGACCAAGCCCCAGCCTTCTTCAGACCCAGGGGTTCAGGCCCAACCTCCTCCCTCAGACCCAGGGGTTCAGGCCCAACCTCCTCCCTCAGACCCAGGGGTCCAGGCCCAACCTCCTCCCTCAGACCCACCGATCCAGACCCCAGCCTCCTTCTTCAGAAGGAAGAGGAGAAGGATGTAAGGATGTTATCATGGAGGTTTGCTAGTCCAGTGGAAAAAAGAGCCAAGGCAAAGTTAGTGAGCAGTGTTTTCCCCCTCTGGAATAGGCTGGGTTTTTTAGTTGTATGTTTGTGTGTGTTAAAAAATGTTTTAAATATTCATTTTGGATTTTTTTTTTCTTTTGGGCTGATCCAGGGGCTTGAACTCAGGGCCTGGGAGCTTTTTTTGCTCGACTAGTGTTCTACCACTTGAACTACAGCTCCACTTCGGATTTTTTTGGTGGTTAATTGGAGGTAAGAGTCTTGATGGACTTTTCTGCCCCAGGTTGGCTTCGAACTGTTTCTCAGATCTCAGCCTCCTGAATAGCTAGAATTATAGGCCCGAGCCACCAGCGTCCGGCTGGGAGTAGCTTTTGATTTCTTCTATTACTGGGGTTAGGGTTTGATGAAATCCGCAGTAGCTGGCCCTTTAAGGCCAGCTCCCTGCCCCATAGTCGCTGAGGCCGGAGGCGGGGTCTTGCGTTGCTAAGGAAATGCCTTTTACCCAAAATTGAATGGCGAGTTCTGAGAAGGAAAACCAATCAACGTCTTCAGTGGGGTAAGCGAGGCTTCTGATTTGCCAGAAACTCTTTGCCGCCTGCCACTCAATGTTAGCCGCAGTCTCATCTATGATTGGCTGGTGACGCCTAGAAGGCGGGTGGTTCTGCTTGTCTCTCTGCTATTGGCTATGTTTCTGAGTGACAGCCGCTCCCCGGCTCTCTAATTGGCTTCCACAGCTGGGTGCTTCTGGGAGGCGGCTCTGCTCGGGCTCCAAGTATTGCACTTGCTCGTGTGGGTCTGGGGGTTGGTGTCCTGTGGAGGCTGGGCCAGCTGGAAAACTAGATCGAATTCTGGAGTGCATCTGATCATACAAAATAATTTATCGAAATGAGCTCCAGGAAATGAAAGCAATAGGTTTTTTTTTTTTTGCTGCTTTTGTTTTCCTTACTTTTTGTCCTGTTTGCTCATTGATACGTCTTCGGGAAGGTAAAGGGGGCACAGAAATCGTGAGACAAAGGGTGAACAAATGCAGCAGTGGTACTCACTAGACACTGTGTGGAAAATGAACTGTACAACGTGGGGACTGGAGGGAAACGCTGGGAGAGAGCGAAGGAAAGGGTGACACTGTGCTAAAGAAATGTACTTGATTTATGTAACTGTCACCCCCTACATCACTTTAATAATAACAATTAAAAAAAGAAAACCTGGAAGGGTGAAGGGCATCACGGACGCTCACCGCCTCTTCCAGAGCTTAGGATCAGCTCCTTTCTGCCTCTGACCTGTCACCAACCATTAGAGGTCCAAGATCTGACGTTTTAGGGCTCTTCTCATTCCACATGGGCTCAAAGAGTCCCTTAAGTACTTTTCCTTTCTCTCTCTCTCTCTCTCTCTCTCTCTCTCTCTCTCTCTCCTCCTTCTCCTCTCCCTCCTCTCCCTTCTCTTCCTTCTTCTTTTTTTCTCCTACTAAAGGGATCTGGGGTCTTGCTTCCCCATGAAGTGTTCACTCATTCAAGCCCTCATGAAACCCTTCTAAATGCAAAGATGAGGACAAGGTTTGTCCGTGAAGGGCCTTGGCACTGTCTCCTCCCTCCTTTTCTAGGTGCAGGAGGGCATGTGTTCCTACATTCCCTGCCATCTCCCCATGCCTAGGGTTGTGTGTGTGTGTGGGGGGGGGTCCTTTCTCAGACCTTTAAGGTTGCAGGGTCATCTTTGAACTTTGCCCTGGGAATGCTACTTCTTAAATCTCCAGGGTCTCTTAATAAGGGCACCAGTCCCATTCGGGAAGGTCTCATCCTCATGATTTAACCATCTCCCAAGAAATCATAGTCAGGCATAGTCACAGGAAGGCTTGGATTTCAGTACAGGATTTGGGAGCTAGAACAGCCATGGCTCACGTGGCTGAGGTAAAGGTCGATGCCTACCTTTAGGGCATCTCATCCCAAAAGGCAGCAAGAGACCATGTGTGGTGGGGAATTGGAGGAGGTGGGGATCTCAAGTCTCAGATCAAGAGACAAAGAAACTGAGAAAGTTTCTGTGGATACTCAAGTCTTTGTATATTTGCTCTAAGAGAGCTGGCACACAGAGGACCTGCTCCTGCTGGACAGGGAAGTAGCTTCAGCCAACAAAGGTCACAGCTATAGCCAGTTAGGCCAAGAGTTACTTGTCCTTTAGTTGTCTTTCCTTTAGGTTAAAGTATTTTGAGAAATAAAACTACAAAATAAAAATAGAAATAAAAAAAACAAAAGAGTCTTATAGGCAACTGGTCTACCTCTAGTGGGTGAGGAGGGGAGGCAATGAGATTTGAACTGACTTTGAGGTTAAGATTTAAGACCAGGCTCAGCTTTAGTAACCAGTACTGACTGGAGAGTTACATAATGCAATAGACATTGCTAAAAGGATGAGAGTTTTGTTTTAGTGGAACTGGGGTTTGAACTCAGGGCCTCATGCAGGCCCTCTACCACCTGAAATGTAACTCAACTCTCTTTCTCTTTGGTTATTTTTTAAGGTCGGGTTTGAATTTTTTTTAAACTGGACCACAATTTTCCTACCTAAGATTTTCTGAGGAGTTGGGATTACAGCCATAAACTACCATGCCTGGTAAGAAAAGCTTTTTGTTGTTTGTTTTGGTTGGTCGTGGGGCTTGAAGTGACAGCCCGGGCACTGTCCCTGAATTTTTTCACTCAATAGTAGTACTTGACTACTTCAAGCCACAGCTCTACTTCTGCAAGAGAAGGTTTAGCAGGGTATGTAATTCAGGCAAGGAGTGTAGCTCAAGAGCAAGCAGTTGCTTGGGTGCATAAGGCCCTGGGAAACCACACCAAATCACCCCACCCCACACCGTATCACACCACACCACAGAGCACAGTTGGATCCATGATGATAAAAAAATAGATCTGTTTGTGTGTGTGTGTGTGTGTGTATTGCTCTTCAGCTCAAGGTGAATGCTCTACCACTTGAGCCACAGCGCCACTTCTGGTTTTCTGGTGGTTTATTGTAGATAAGAGACTCATGGACTTTCCTGCCCCAGTTGGCTTTGAACCATGATCTTCAGACCTCAGCCTCTGGAGTAGCTAGGATGACAGGCGTGAGCCACTGATGCCTGGCTTCTGTTTTATAATTTATACATACTAGTTTCTGACTAACAGACTCAAAGGAGTATGTGGCAATGTCCAAAGTCCAAGCTGGGTTTTCTGACACCAAACATTGTGGGGCTCCCCACCCCCAACTTACACACTTACTTTTAACCAAGAAGATTGGATAAAAATGCCTTCTCAGGGGCTGGGAAGGTGGCTCAGTGGTAGAGCGCTTGCCTTGCATGCCTGAGGCCCTGGGTTCGATTCCTCAGCACCACATAAACAGAAAAAAAAAAGCCAGAAGTGGCACTGTGGCTCAAGTGGTAGAGCGCTAGCCTTGAGCCAAAGAGCTGAGGGACAGCGCCCAGGCCTAGAGTTCAGGCCCATGACCAGAACCTCCCCCCCCCCAAAAAAAATGCCTTCCCATAGCTGGAGATGCTGCTCAAGTGATAGAACACCTGCCTAGCAAGGGTGTGGCCCTGAGTTCAATCCCAGTACCACCATAATAAAAATAAATAAATGTGCCAGAGTTTAAATTAAACAAAGAAAAAAATACCTTCCCTGTCTCCACATCTCAAGCTCTTTTTTTCTTTTAATTGTGAGAATACTGAACAGAGGGTTACAATTACATGGTCAAGGTTATGAATGCATTTCTTATCAAGCATTGTTGCCTCCTCCTTTGTTTCCCCTTCCCATCCTTTCCCATCCCCCCCCCCCCGCCCCCTCACCTCCCTCACCCCACATCTCAAGCTCTTATTGCAGAAGTCAGGGCCTTAACAAACCTATGTCAGAGTTACAACTTTTGGGCCAAATTTGTTACTCTGGCAACACAATCTTCTGAGTCCCAAGGTCAAATACACGTTCCGGTGTTGCAGTCCTGGTGTGCCTGGTGACTAGGAGAGAAACAGAATCTCTTTTCCCTTGGGTAGCGAGTGCTCTACCACTTTGAGCCACAGTTCCACTTCCAGGTTTCTGGTGCCTAACTGGAAATAAGAGTCTTATGGACTACTCTGGCTGGGCTGGCTTTGAAATGCAATGCTCAGATCTCAGCCTCCTGAATAGTTAGGATCACAGGTGGGAGCCATTGGCACCTGATTTGTAATTTGGTTTTCCTATGTGTACTGCATTCTGGTGGCCAACTTCAGTCCTTGCAGCTAGTTCATTTGTGTGTGTGTGTGTGTGTGTGTGTCTGTCCGTGTGCACGCACACTTGTACTGGGATTTAACTCAGAGCCTCACACTCTCCCTTTTGCTCAAGACTGGTGCTGTATCACTTGAACCACAGATCCACTTCCAGCTTTTTGCTGGATAATTGGAGAAAAGAGCCTCATGGGTTTTTCCTGCCCGGGCTGTTTTTAAACTGTGACCCTCAGATCTCAGCCTCCTGGGTAGCTGGGATGACAGGCGTGAGCCACCAGCATCCCGTTTGCTCATTCCCGTGTTAATGTTCCCTACCCAGAGGCTGTGGCACACAGAGCTAGGAAGGGAAGCAAGCCAGCCATGACCCTGGCCATGACATCAGTGACCAGCAGGTGTCACCATAAGGGCCTGTGGGTGACAGGTGACTGGAGCAAGGCCAAGCAGTCCAGAGGACAGCCCTGACACTCTGTCCTCTGCTTCCACCTCTCTCTCTAGAGCTGTCCCCATCTTGGGTGAAGCCCGCAGTGGCCTGAGGCAGCCTCAGGGGGTGAGTCAGGGAACAGCTGTGACAAACTCAGAAAACCTCCTGTCAGTCATCATGAAGCTCATGGGAGATTTGGATCTTGGTAAGGTCTGATTTTCTGAGCCAAAGATCCATCGTTGCCAATGTCAGACATTCATAGCTAATGTGTGGGAAAGAGTCTACAGTTCATAAAGTGCTTTTGTCTATACAATCTTTCCTTCCTTCCTTCCTTTTTTCTTTCTTTCATTCTTTCTTTCTTTCTTCCTTTCTCCTTCCTTCCTTCCTTTTTTCCTTCCTTTCCTTCTTTTTTTTTTTTTTTTTGTCGGTTGTGGGGCTTGAACTCTGGGCCTGGGCACTGCCCCTCAGGTTTTCAGCTCAAAGCTAGTGCTCTACCACTTAAGCCACAGCACCACTTCCAGTTTTCTGAGTGGTTTATTGGAGGTAAGAGTCTTTTGGACTTTTCCTGCCCAGGCTGGCTTTGTACCTTGATCCTCAGATCTCAGCTTCCTGAGTAGCTAGGATGACAGGTGTGAGCAACCAGCCCCCAACCCTTTCCTTCTTTATTTGGTCTCATTCTGGGTTTTGAACTTGGCCTGGGTGCTATCCTTGAACTCCTTTGGCTAGAGGCTAGCACTCTGCCACTTGAGCCACAGCTCTACTTTCTGCTTCTTCTGTGATTAATTGGAGATAAGAGTCTCATGGGCTTTCCTGCCCAGGTGCCTTCACACCACAATTCTGAGATCTCAGCCACCTGAGAATGTAGGATTACAGTTCTGAGTCTCTGGTGACCAGTTCATTCTTCCTTCTCTTTCTATTTCTCTCCTTCTCTCTCTTCACCTCCTCCTCCTCTGTCCCTCTTCCATCTGTCTCCTCCTCCCCAATTTCTCTCTCTCTGTCTTATGGTTGCATTACATACTAATCCTTCTCCTTTTAGTCTGTTTTCCAAAGAAGGTCTTGTGCTTGTCCCTGGGCTAGCCTGGAACTGTGATCCTCCTTTCCCTACTTTCCCAGTAGGCAGGATCACAGGTGTGCTCCATCTGGCCTCCTCCTTTCTTGCTCTCTGCACTGCTTGTGATTTAGGAGAGCCCCCTGCAGGACAGATTGTGAACTGTTGGAAGTACTGTGGGTTTAGAGTGGAGGCCCATGGTGACTGGCTCCCCTCCCCCCACTTCCTTCCTCCCCCTCCTCTCTTCTCCTGGGTCTTGAACTCAGGTCCTGAATAGCCTCTTTGTACTCAAGGCTAGCACACTACCCCTTGAGCCACAGCCACATTTGTAGCTTTTTCTGAGTGGTTAATTGGAGATCAGAGTCTCATTGCCTTTTCTGCCTGGGTCAGTTTTGAACCGTGACCCTCACATCTTAGCCTGCTGAGTAGCTAGGATTACAGGTGTGTGGGTCTCTCTTATGCTCCTCTGTAACATTTTCTTCTTTTTAAAAAAATTTCACTTTTCACATTTTTGTGTTGTAGAATTGAAAGCAGCACCTGTGCATGTTGGAAAAGCGCTCTACCATGAACCATGTCTCCACAGAGAGAACCAATAAAGGGCACAGGATGTGATACACAGTACTCCTGCAGGTTCAGTACTGTGATCCTGGCTCAGTTCTGGGAGGGTCTAAAGGCTGCTTGCTGGAGGGTTTTCTTGTGGCTGTCATTCTAGTATTGAGACTTGAACTCAGGGCCTGGGTGCTATCTCAGAGGTTTTTCCTTCAAGGCAGGTGCTCTCCCACTTAAACCACAGTTATACTTCCAGCAGGAACTTTCCTGCCCAGGCTGGCTTGGAACCCTGATCCTCCAATCTCAGCCTCCTGAGTAGCTAGGATTACAAGCATGAACCACAGGCGCCCGGCTCATCCTAAAAGATTTGTAAAGGTTACTAAAGAGACTTTGCAGTGGGTGCGTTGAGCCTCTTTATTGCCTCCTCCTGGCTCCCTGGCTGAGGTCCAGATCTACAGCTTAGGGGACCTTCTGTGGAAATGGATTTCTGCGTAATTCTCCTCAGGGTCCCTGGGCCTCGGGGTCTCCAGAGGCCAGGAGAAGTTGAGAGCAGCATAATGGAGTTCTTCTGGGCAGCTCTCGGGGTCTGGGCCTTGTGTGGGTGATGTGGGCTCAGGGCAGCTCAGGGCGGCCTTCTGGTTCTTCCTTGGTTCTGGGGAGCCAGTGCCTGGAGAAGTGGTCCTGGGAGGGCTGCTTGGCTTGCCCTTCAGATTCTGCATCCAAGGAAACAATAACCACCCTTCATTCATTCATTCATTCACCTACCACAGAGTTGGACATTGAGCAGCTGCCTGGTACAACTTAGGCATGGAGGCCACAGCTGTGAGGAAAACCCAGTCCCTCACTGAGTCTGCCTTCCATCCGCACCCCCAGGAACAAAGGGTGCAGGAGGACTGGGGGTGTGGCCAACAGAGATGGTTGGGGTAGGCATGGCTGGCGGGTGGGCATGACCCCATGGGCCTTGAATCTCCTAGGCAGGTGCTCTACCAGTTTGGCCACACCCTAGTCCCCTTTGCTTTCATTGCTGTTCCAGTAAAGTCTCGCCTTTATGCTCAGGCAAGCCCTGAAGCATCATTCTCCAGCATAGCAATACTGTGTCCTAGACAAACAAACATCCCTAGGTCGCCCAAGAGAAGCAGGAGACAGGGCTTGATTTAGACTCCAGAGTGAATCAGCAGCCTGGTGGGCCATACACTCACTGGGGCCTGGGCTTTAGGGTTGACATTGATGTAATCAAGGATGGTGCTGCGCCGGGAGACCTGGGTTCTGCACGTCTCTGCCTGAGGCTGTGATTTCCGTAACATCTTCACACTGTGGGAATAAACCCTGGAAGCACTGCAGCCCCTGCCCTTTCCCAGGCTCCTGACCCCATGACCCCGACCCCTGGCTCCTTGACCTCTCCTAACTCACATGAGCACGATGAGGCAGAGGAAAAGGAGAGTCGTGGCACCGATGCCCAGGCCCGCCCCCTTGGAGAATGCTGCAGAGATGGAGCCTTCATCTGTGTGAGAGAGCCAGGTGAGGTCAGCCGGTGGGCATGGGGGGCTCCCACACCCCAAGGTGTCTGAGCCTCATTCTGACCCAGTCCTTCCATTTCTCCCCTGTTCCTCCTCACTAGCCAGCCACAGACCAGGGACTCTGCCAACTGTTCCCTCCAGAGGGCAGCAGTCAGCAGATGTACCAAGTCCCTGGCCCAGGGACTCCACTCACAGTGCACAGAGAGGCTCAGGGAGATGTGCAGGGTGCCCAGCAGGTTCTGTGCCCGGCAGGTGAATTCTCCTTCATGTTCTGCCTCAACCACGGGCAGCTCCAGCACCCCAGGCTCCATGAGCCAGGGGGGGCTTAGTGTCTGGGAACCCCGGGCCCAGCTCAGTGTGGCTGGCGGGTGACTGTGGGTGACACAGACCAGGCGCAGGCTTTGTCCCTGCAGGATGCGGAGGGATGAGCCGTTCCTGCAGATTTCCAGCTCTAGCGGAGGGAGAGAGGGAGAGAGAGAGAGAAAGAGAGAGAGAGAGAGATGTGGGGCGCCATCCCCACCTGTAAAGGATGCCAGAGGGAAGCCCAGCTTCCTGTGTCCCCTGTCACCTGTGCTGTTTCCTTGAGAAGCGGTCACTGTCAGCGCCTCTGGAGGGTCTGCAATGGAGACACAATGGCCAGGCTCCCTCTGCCTGTGCCTCACACACAAACCGAGGCCCTGGGCTTGCTGGGCCCTGGAAGCTGTGGCACCCTGCTCCTCCCCTGGTTTCTCCCCTCTTCTTCCCCTCCCCTGCCCGCTTCGGGTCCACTCACACTGCACAGAGAGGTCCAGGGCGCGGTGCTGGGAGCCTAGTCTGTTCTCCGCGTGGCAGGTATAGCGACCCGCATCCCTGACCTTAACCCTGGGCAGGTCTAGCCCCAGGGTTCCAGGGTGCGCGGCATTTGACCTCAAGAGGACTCGGTTCCCCAGGACCCAGGTCAGCATGGGGGGAGGCCGGCCAGCCGCAGTGCAGAGCAGCCGCAGAAACTGGCCTTTGCGGACGTCCATGCATGTTGTGTTTCCTTGGGCCTCTAGGCAGACAGGAGAGGTTGAGGCAGAGACAGAGACGGGAAAGACACAGAGACACACAGACAGACTCCCAGAGCAAAACAGAGATAGGCAAGGAGGTTCAGAAAGTGAGACACACACAGACTACGGTACAGACAGAGTGTTGGGGGAGGGGCTCTAGCTGAAGTTGGTCCACTCCACCCGCCCTGGGCTTTCCACTTCCCCTTGGCTGCTACAGCCCTGCCCTCTTGGCCTCACACCTTGGGCGTTGTCACGGAAAATGGTGATCTCCAGGTCTCTGGGGGCGCCTGCAAGAAGGGTGTGCGCTCTCTTCAGGAAGGACCTGCTCTCTCCACAACCAGAGCCTTCCTCCTCAGGAAAGAGTGGCCCCCAATGGTGCCCGCCTCTTCTGGGACCCTAAGACAGGCTTCTCCACCTTCCCCACACATACCAGGATGCCTCATCTGGTCAGAACTAAAGCCGGGACTCACAGGCCACGCTCAGCTGGATGGTGTTCTGCACAGTGACGCCAGCTCTGAAGGCCGCTCGGCAGGTGAGCTGGGTGCCGTGGTCACTCGGGCGTGGTGTGAGGCTGATGGCTGACAGGAAGGAGGTCTGGGGTCTGCTCTCAGTGGTGGAGAGGGCAGGCCCTAACCAGGAGATGGAAGGGGCCGGACAGTTCTCAGAGATCCCATGAATCACGCAGAGGATGGTCACCTTCTGTCCGGGCTCCAGGGTCTCGGGAATGAAGATGTCTGGCTCAGTGTCTTATGTGTGAGGCGGTGGGGGGGGGGGGGGGGAGGGAGGAGAAGAGATCAGATGCTCACACTCAGGCCGTGGTCAGGAGACCCTGCCTCCATCCCCAGCCTGGGAGCCCAGCCCCGCCTGCCGCACCTGTCACTTCCAGCCAGAACATGTCCACCAGGAAATTATATCTCAGTTTCCCTCCCTTCTCCACTCGGAAGAAGTAATGCCTCTGGTCGCCTCTCCGGGCATCTCTGATGAACAGGGTGCAGTTGTTCCTTTGAGGGTCTCCCACCAGCTGGAATCGACCCTGGGTCAAGGCTTGCACGGATCGAGTTGAGTTGGTAGAAGCCACTGGTTCCCCGGTGTCTGTGTTGGTTCCTTCTGTGAACCAGTAGCCATGAGCTGGGGAGTGATCTTGACCTGCCTCCTGGCTGGGGTAGGAGAAGGAGCAGGGCACGAGGACACACAGCCCTTCCTGCACCTTCACCCGGCTCTGCACCTGCACCTTGTATCCCGGTTTCTGAGCCTGAGACCCTGCAAGGAGATAGATGGGCTCAGTCCGCATCCCAGCCCTGATCCAGCCCAGCAGCCCATGGCTCTTGGCCACATACCGCCCAAGGACAGCAGCAGCAAGGAGAGGCACAGCTGTGTGTTCAGAGGCTGCATCCTGAGCTGCTCTGAGTCGATAAGAGCAGGGGCAGGAGGGAAGTGCAGGAGACCAAGTTGTGGTCACATGCGTGACGCTCACTGCTACCGGGGAGGCTGAGCTGGACAGGGGCCTCCCCCACCGGCCGTCTCCTGGTGCTGGGGTGTCTGCAGGGCGTTTGCACGCAGGGAGCTGGGCCTCCCCAGACAACTCTGGGGCAAGGAGGGGAGGTGGCAGACCTGTGTCTGGCTTTGGGTCTTCGTAGGGGTGAGGAAAAAGAGTATGGGGCTCTTCCCTGGGCCCTGGGTCACTGGGGAAGCAGAAATGAAAGCCATTGTCAGGACCTTTCTGTGGGGGGCGGGGTCCTGGGGTGCAAAGAGAATACTTTTGCGGAGAGCGGGGGCGTTCTGCATAAATGGACTTTTCAGACTTCAAAAGTATGAGTAATCTTTCTGTTTTTTTTTTTCTTGGTATAAAAATAGTTGCAACATTGGAGAAATAATGCTGAGAAAAAAAATTTGGTTATTTAAAATTCAAACTAGATTTCTTCCTCTTTTTTTGTGCTTTTTTTCCCCTCCCTCCTCCTCCTCCTTCCTCTTCTTCTTTTTACTTCTTTATTTTTATTTTTGTCAGTTGTGGGTCTTTAAATTGGGGCCTGGGCACTGTCCCTCAGCTCAAGGCGAGTGCTCTACCACTTGATCCACAACCCTGCTTCTGGCTAATGGGAGATTAGAAGCTTCAGAGCTTCCTGCCAGGATAGTCAGATCTCAGCTTCCTGATTAGCTAGGATTACAGGCGTGAGTCATCAGCACCTTCCCTGCCTGCCTGTGTGCCTTCCTTCCTTCCTTCCTTCCTTCCCTTCCTTCCCTTCCTTCTTTCATTTTTTTCCCCCCTTTCCTTCTTTACTTGGTCTGATGCTGGTGCTAGCCCTAGGCCTGGTTGTATCTCTGAGCCCCTTTTGCTGGAGGTTAGCACTCTGCCACTGGAGCCACAACTCTACTTTCTGCTTCTTCCATGACTAATTGGAGATAAGAGTCTCCTTGCCCAGGCTTCCATCAAACCACAATACTCAGATCTCAGCCACCTGAGGATTTAGGATTACAGGTCTGAGCATCGAGTGACCAACTTGTTCTTTCTTCTCTTTCTATTTCTCTCTTTCCTTCTCTCCTTTCACCTCCTTCTCCTCCTCCTCCTCCCCTCCTCCATCTCTCTCTTCCGTTTCCTTTCTCCTGCCCCCCATCTAATTTCTCTCTCTCTGCCTCGTGCTTGCAACCCACTCTAATCCTTCTGCTTTTAGTCTGTTTTCCAAAGAGGGTCTTGTGCACCGCCGCCCCCCCCCCCCCCATAGCCTAGAAAGGTGATCCTCCTTTCCCCACTTTCCCAGTAGGCAGGATCACAAGTGTGCATCATCTGGCCTCCTCCTTTCTTGCTCTCTGCACTACTCGTGCCTTAGGAGAGCCACCTGCAGGAGACATTGTGAACTGCTGACGTACTGTGGGTTTGGAATGGAGGCCCAAGGTGACTTGCTGTCCCCCATTTTCTCCCCCCACTCCTCCTGGGATTCTCAAGCTCCCTTGCTCCTTACCCCCCTCCTGGGTCTTGAACTCAGGGCCTGCACAGCCTCTTTGTACTCAAGGCTAGCACACTGCCACTTGAGCCACAGCCACACTTATAGCTTTTTTTGAGTGGTTAATTGAGATCAGAGTCTCATTGCCTTTACTGCCTGGGTCAGCTTTGAACCATGACCCTCAGATCTTAGCCTGCTGAGTAGCTAGGATTACAGGTGTGAGCCACCAGCACAAGGCTGTGGGTCTCTCTTATGGTCCTCTATAACATATTTTTCTTTTTAAAAAAGTTTCACTTTTTTTGTTGTAGAATTGAAAGCAGCACCTGTGCATGCTGGACAAGCGCTCTACCATGAACCATGTCTCCACAAGAGAACCAAAGAAGGGCACACAGGATGTGATATACAGCACTCCTGCAGGATCAGTACTGTGATCCTGGCTCAGTTCTGGGAGGGTCTGATGGCTGATTGCTGGAGGGTTTTCTTGTGGCTGTCATTTGGTATTGAGGATTGAACTCAGGGCCTGGGTGCTATCTCAGAGGTTTTTCCTTCAAGGCTGGTGCACTATCACTTGAGCCACAGTTCTACTTCCAGCCTTTTGGTGATTAATGGGACATAAGAGTCTCAGGAACTTTCCTGCCCAGTTTGGCTTGGAACCCTGATCTTTCAATCTCAGCCTCCTGAGTAGCTAGGATTACAAGCATGAGCCATAGGCGTCTGGCTCATCCTAAAGGATTTGTAAATGTTACTAAAGAGACTTTGCAGTGGGTGCTCTGAGCCTCTTTATTGCCTCCTCCTGGTTCCCTGGCTGAGGTCCAGATCTACAGCTTAGGGGACCTTCTGTGGAAATGGATTTCTATGTAATTCTCCTCAGGGTCCCTAGGCCTCGGGGTCTCCAGAGGCCGGGGGAAGTTGAGAGCAGCATAATGGAGTTCTTCCGCACAAATCTCGGGGTCTGGGCCTTGTGGGGGTGATGTGGGCTTGGGGCAGCTGAGGATGGCCTTATGGTTCTTCCTTGGTTCTGGGGAGCCAGTGCCTGGAGAAGCAGTCCTGGGAGGGCTGCTTGGCTTGGCCTTCAGATTCTGCATCCAAGGAAACAATAACCACCCTTCCTTCATTCATTCATTTATTCATTCACCTAACAGAGTTAGGCACTGAGCTGGGGCCTTGGTACAACTTAGGACTGAGGCCACAGCTGGGAGGAAAACCCAGTTTCTCATTGAGTCTGCCTTCCATCCCCACCTCCAGGACCCAGTCCTTCCATTTCCTCTTCGTTCTTCCTCCCCAGTCAGCCATAGACCAGGACTCTGGTGATCAGGGATTCTGGCTGTCTGTGCCCTTCAGAGGCCCATAGTCAGCAGATATCCATTGTCCCTGGACTCTGGTGTCCCCCCCCTCCACTCACAGTGCACAGAGAGGCTCAGGGAGATGTGCAAGGCACCCAGTAGGTTCTGCGTCCGGCAGGTGAATTCTCCTTCATGTTCTGCCTTGACCACGGGCAGCTCCAGTACCCCAGGCTCTGTAGGCCAGGGCGTCTGGGAACCCCGGGCCCAGCTCAGCGTGGCTGGTGGGTGGCTGTGGGTGACACAGACCAGGCGCAGGCTTTGTCCATGCAGGACATGGAGGGATGAGCCGTTCCTGCAGATTTCCAGCTCTAGGGGAGGGAGAGAGAGAGAGATGTGGGGCGCCATCCCCACCAATAAAGGACACGCAAGGCCTAGCTTCCTGTGTCCTTGTCCCCTGTCACCTTTGCTATTTCCTTGAGAAGCAGTCACTGTCAGCACCTCCAGAGGGTCTGCAATGGAGACACAATGTCCAGGGCTCCCTCTGCCTGCGCCTCACACACATACCGTGGCCCTGGGCTTGCTGGGCCCTGGAAGCTGTGAGGTCCTGCCCCTCCCCTGCCCCCTCTCCTGTCCTGTCCCGTACCCCTTCCCCATCCCCACCCCACACAGTGTTCTGCCCTTCCCCTACCCCCCTTGAGTGCACTCACACTGCGCAGAGAGGTCCAGGCCATGGTGCTGGGAGCCAAGCCTGTTTTCTGCGTGGCAGGTGTAGCACCCCGCATCTCTGTCCTTCATCCCAGGCAGGTCCAGCCCCAGAGTTCCAGGGTGTGTGACATTTCCCCTTGAGAGCACTCGGTTCCCCAGGACCCAGGTCAGCAATGGGGGGAGACCAGCCAGCTGCAATCCACAGCAGCCGCAGGAGCTGTCCTTTGTGGACACCACCCATGTCATGTTTCCTTGGGGACTCTAGGGAGAGACAGTTGAGTGGGAGACAGAGACAGAGACAGCAGAGACACACAGACAGAATCCCAGAGAAAAACAGAGACAAGCAGGGAGAAGAGAGACACACAGACGATGGGCAGACAGAGAGTGAGGGTTGTAGAAGGAGTTGGTCCCCTCCACCCACCCTGATCTTTCCACTTCCACTGGTCCTGGCCAGCCCCACCCTTTGGCCTCACACCTTGGGTGTTGTCATGGAAAATGGGGATCATCAGGTCTCTGGGGGCACCTGCAAAGAAGGGTGTGCGCTCTCTTCAGGAAGGAAGTACTATCCCCAGAACCAGAGCCCCCTCCCCGTTCTGGGAAGATAGGGCCTCATCATTCCACCTCAGCTGGACCCCTAGACAGGCTTCTTCCACCTCCCCCCCACACACACTAGGATGCCTCATCTGGCCAGACCTGAAGCTGGGACTCACAGGCCACCCTCAGCGGGATGGTTTTCTGCACAGTGACACCAGCTCTGAAGTCTGCTTGGCAGATGAGCTGGGTGCCGTGGTCACTCAGGTGTGGTGTTAGGCTGATTGCTGGCAAGAAGGAGAGCTGGGGTCTGCTTCTGGTGGGGGAAAAGACAGACCAGGACCAGGAGATGGCAGGGACCAGACAGTGCTCAGAGACTCCATGAACCACACAGAAGACAGTCACCACCCTCTCGGGCTGCAAGGCCTCGGGAATGAAGATGTTTGGCTGAGTCATGTCTTGGGGTGGGGGAGGAGGGAAGAGAGTAGACCATGCTTGGGAGACCCTGCCTCCATCCCCAGCCTGGGAGCCTGGCCCCCGCACACCCTACCTGTCACTTCCAGCCAGAACTTGTCCACCAGGAAGTTATATTTCAGCTTTTCTCCCTTCTGCAGCTGGAAGAAGTATTGCCTCTGGTCCTCTCTCTGGGCATCTCTGATGAGTAGGGTGCAGTTGTTCCTGTGGGGGTCTACCAGCAGCTGGAATCGACCCTGAGTCCAGGCTTGCATGGGTTGAGCTGGGTTGGTAGAAACCACGGATTCCCTGGTGGCTGTGTCAGTTCCTTCTGTGAACCAGTGGCCATGAGCTGGGGAGGAATCTGGACCTGCCTCCTGGCTGGGGTAGGAGAAGGAGCAGAGCACGAGGATGCACAGCCCTTCCTGCACCTTTACCCGGCTCTGCATCTGCACCTTGTAGTCCTGTTTCTGAGCCTGGGACCCTGTGGGGAGATAGATGGGCTCAGTCCACATCCCAGCCCTGTTCCAACCCAGCTGCCCACAGCTCTTGGCCACATGCCGCCCAAGGACAGCAGCAGCAAGGAGAGGCACAGCTGTGTGTTCAGACGCTGCATCCTGAGCTGCTCTGAGGCAACAAGAACAGGGGCAGGAGGGAAGTGCAGGAGACTGAGTTGTGGCCACACGTGTGATGTGCACTACTGCTGGGGAGGCTGAGGTGGGCAGGACCTCTCCCACCGGCCAAGCTCCTGGGGGCTGGGGCATCTTCTGGGTCTTTGTACTTGGGGAGCTGGGCTTCCCCAGACAACTCTGGGGCAAGGAGGGGAGGCAGCAGGTGTGTGTTTGGCTTTGGAGCCTGGCTGGGGATGGGGGAGGGGAGGAAGGGACTCTCCCCTGGGCCCTGGGTCACTGGGGAAGCCAAAATGCAAGCCAATGTCAGAGCCTTTCTTTTTTTTTTTTTTTTTTTTCTTTTTTTTTGTCCGTCATGGGGCTTGAACTCTGGGCCTGGGTGCTGTCCCTCAGCTCTTCAGCTCAAGGCGAGCGCTCTACCACTTGAGCTACAGCGCCACTTCCGGTTTTCTGGTGGTTTATTGGAGATAGGAGTCTCACGGTCTCTCCTGCCCGGGCTGGCTTTGAACCGTGATCCTCAGATCTCAGCCTCCTGAGTAGCTAGGATTACAGGCGTGAGCCACCAGCGCCCGGCTTCAGAGCCTTTCTTGTGTGGGGTCTGGGGTACAGAGGAAACACTTCTGGTGGGAAGCGGTGTCCCTGCTTAGATGGACGTTTAGACTAAATGTATACGAGTAATCTGTGTTTTTTCTTGGTATAAGAATAGCTTCATGGCTGGGAAGGTGGCTCAGAGGTAGAGTGCTTGCCTTGCATGCATGAGGACCTGGGTTCAATTCCTCAGCACCACATAAGCAGAAAAAGCCAGATGTGGTACAGTGGCTCAAGAGGTGGAATGCTAGCCTTGAGCTAAAGAGCTGAGGGACAGCTCCAAGGCCCAGAGTTCAGGCCCCACAACTGACAAAAAAATAAATATAAAATGAAATAAAAGAAAAAAGGAAGAAAAGCTCCAACACTGGAGAACTTAGGCTGAGAAAAAAAATTGTTATCTAAAATTCAGCCTTAACTAGATATGTTCCTCTTTTTTCTTTTCTTCTTCCTCTTCCTTCTCCTTCTTCTCTTCCTCCTCCTTCCTCTTTGTCTTTTCTTTTTCTTTTTGATCACTGTGTGTGGTTTGAACTTGGCCTCGGTGCTGTTCCTGAGGTCTTTAGCTGAAGGTAAGCCCTCTACCACTAGAACTACAGCTCCACCTCTGGTTTTCTGTTGGTTAATTGGAGATAAGAGTCTTTTCTACTGGCAATGGCTTGAACCACTATCCTCAGATCTCAGCCTCTTGAGTAGCTAGGATGACAATCGTGAGCCACCGGAGCCCAGCTTATTTTTCTGTATTTTGTTCTGATCCTACAGTTTGGACTCAGGGCCTGGATACCACCCTTGATACTTTTTCTCTCAAATCTGAGGATTGACCACCAGTCCCATTTCTGGCTAATTGGAGATTAGAATCTAATGAACTTTCCTGCATTGGCTGGCTTTGAACTGCAATGCTCAAATCTCAGCCTCCAAAAATAGCTGGGATTACAGGCATGAGCCTTTGGTGCTTGGCTTGTAATTCTGTTTTTCTATGGGTAGTGGATTCTGGTGGTCAACTGTAGTCTGTACAGCTAATTCGTTTGTGTGTGTGTGTGTGCCTGTGTGTGTGTGTGTGTGTGTGTGTGTGTGTGTGTGTGTGTGGGTCTGTGTGCACGTGCACTTGTACTGGGATTTAACTCAGACCTCACACTCTCCCTTTTGCTCAAGACTGGTGCTGTATCACTTGAACCACAGATCCATTTCCAGCTTTTTGCTGGATGATTGCAGAAAAGAGCCTCATGGGCTTTTTCTGCCTGGGGTTGTTTTTGAACTGTGTCCTTCAGCCTCCTGGGTAGCTGGGATGACAGGCGTGAGCCACCAGCACCAGGTTTGCTCATTCCTGTGTTAATGTTCCATATCCAGAGGCTGTGGCACACAGAGCTAGGAAGGGAAGCAAGCCAGGCGCGACCCTGGCCATGACATCAATGTCCAGCAGGTGTCACCATAAGGGCCTGTGGGTGACAGGTGACAGGAGCCAGGCCAAGCAGTCAAGAGGACAGGGCTGACACTCTCCTCTGCTTCCACCTCTCTCTCTGGAGTTGTCCAATCTAAGGTGAAGCCCGCAATGGCCTGAGGCAGCCGCAGGGGGTGATTCAGGGAACAGCTGTGACAAACTGAGAAAACCTCCTGTCAGTCATCATGAAGCTCATGGGAGTTTTGGATCTTGGTTAGGTCTGATTTTCTGAGCCAAAGATCCATCTTTGCCAATGTCAGACATTCATAGCTAATGTGTGGGAAAGAGTCTACAGTTCATAAAGTGCTTTTGTCTATACAATCTTTCCTTCCTTCCTTCTTTCGTTCCTTCCTTCCTTCCTTCCTTCTTTCTATCCTTTCTTTTTCCCCCCTCTTTACTTTTTACTTGGTCTGATGCTGGTGCTAGGACTTGGCCTGGGTGCTATCTCTGAGCCCCTTTTGCTGGAGGCCAGCACTCGGCCACTGGAGCCACAGCTCTACTTTCTGCTTCTTCTGTGATTAATTGGAGATAAGATTCTCATGGACTTTCCTGACCAGGCTGCCTTTCAACCTCAGATCTCAGCCACCTGAGGATTTAGGATTACAGGTCTAGGTGACCAGCTCGTTCTTCCTTCTCTTTCTCTTTCTCTTTCCTTCTCTCTCTTCACCTCCTCTTCCTCCCCCTCCTCCATCTCCCTTCTTCTCCTTCTCTTTCTCCCCCCACACTTTCTCTCTCTCTGCCTCGAGCTTTCAGCACACTCTAATCCTTCTGCTTTTAGTCTGTTTTCCAAAGAGGGTCTCATGCTTTACCCTGGGCTAGGCTGGAACTGTGATTCTCCCATCCCCGCCTTCCCAGTAGGCAGAATTACAGATGTGCTCCATATGGCCTCCTTCATTTTTGTTCTCTGCACTGCTTGTGATTTAGGAGATCCCCCTGCAGAAGACATTGTGAAGTATTGTGTGTTTGAAGTGGATGCCCAGGGTGGCTTGCTGTCCCTCCACTTCCTCCATATTCCTCCCATATTCCTGGGGTCCTCCCTCTTCCATCTTCCCTATGCGCTACCCTCAGCCCCTCCCCCCATCTGGTACTCAGGGCCTAGCCTGCCTCTTTGTTCTCAAGGCTAGCACACTACCACTTGGGCTACAGCTCCACTTGTAGCTTTTTCTGAGTGGTTAATTGGAGATCAGAGTCTCATTGCCTTGTCTGCCTGAGCCAGCTTGGAAATGTGATCCTCAGATTTTATCTGCTGGGTAGCTAGGATTACAGGTGTGAGCCACCAGCACCAGGCTGTGGGTCTCTCTTATGCTCCTCTGTGACCTTTCTTGTTTTTGTTTTTATGTTTCACTTTTAGTTTTTGTGTGTGTTGTAGAATTGAAGGCAGCACGTGTGCATGCTGGACAAGCGCTCTACCATGAACCACGTCTCCACAGAGAGAAACAACAAAGGGCACAGGACAAAATACACAGCACTCCTGAGTTTCAGTACTAAGATCCTGGCTCAGTTCTGGAAGGGGTTGAAGGCTGCTTGCTGGAGGGTTATGTTGTGGTTGTCATTGTAGTATTGAGGCTTGATCTCAGGGCCTGGTGCTATCTCAGAGGTTTTTCCTTCAAGGCTGGTGCTCTAACACTTGAGCCACAGTTTACTTCCACCCTCTTGGTGGTTAATGGGACATAAGAGTCTCAGGAACTTTCCTGCCAGGTTGGCTTGGATACCTGATCCTCCGATCTCAGTGTCCTGATAAGCTAGGATTAAAAGCATGAACAACAGGCACCCAGTTCATCCTAAAGTATTTGTAAACATTACTAAAGAGACTTTGCAGTGGGTGCTCTGAGCCTCTTTACTGCCTCTTCCTGGCTTCTGGTCCAGATCTATAGCCTAGGGGACCCTCTGTGGAAATGGATTTCTGAGTAATTCTCCTGTGGGTTCCTGGGCCGGGGGTCTCCAGATGCCGGGAGAAGTTGAGAGCAGTATAATGGAGTTCTTCTGGGCAGCTTTCGGGGTCTGGGCCTTGTGTGGGTGATGTTGGCTTGGGGCAGCTGAGGGTGGCCTTCTGGTTCTTCCTTGGTTCTGGGGAGCCAGTGCCTGGAGAAGCAGTCCTGGGAGGGCTGCTTGTCTTGTCTTTAGGTTCTGCATCCAAGGAAACAACATCCACCCTTCATTCATTTGTTCATTTATTCATTTACCTAACAGAGTTGGGCCCTGAGCAGCTGCCTGGTACAACTTAGGACTGAGGCCATAGCTGGAAAACCAGTCCCTCACTGAGTCTGCCTTCCATCCCCACCACCAGGAACAAGGGGTACAGGAAGTCCAGGGGTGTGACCAACAGAGCTGGCTGGGATAAGAGAGTCTTGATGGCGGGCATGGCCACCATGGGCCTTGCATTTCTAGGCAGGTGCTCTTCCAGTTTGGCCACACCCAGTCCTTTTTGCTTTCATTGATGTTCCAGTAAAGTCTGGTCTTTATGCTCAGGGAAGGCTGAAGCATCATTGTCCCAATCTCATCCTGCCAAGGAGCCAGGATGATAGTTGTGAACCCTTGTGTCTAGCTTGGTTTTGTGATTTTCATACTGAGATATATGTCCACCTTGGCAGTCAGCGGCACAACCTGCTTCCCGTCTCACCCCTTCCAGCCTCTTTCCCTGACCTCATAACTGAGAACAGTAGAAAATCAAAGCAGTCATTGCAGCCTCCTAGACTCCTACTCCTTAATGAAGAGGCACACATTAGAAAGGACAAAATAATGGCATTTACTGTAAGGTCTTCTCCTGGATGGCTAGCAGACTCCACCCTCCTCGCAGCAAAGTCTCCACCCAGTACCTGGGTTACCTAGGCAACCTGGAAGAGGTAACATCTGCATCCACTGAGGTCACATCTGAATTTGATGTGGCCACACCTTTCTCTGCCCATACCCAAGATAAGGTCTAGCGCAGGCCCAAATGCTCTCTCTCTCTGCTCTTTCTAGCTCTCAGCTTTTTCCTTCTCTTCTCTTTCCCAGCTCCCTTCTCTTTTCTAGCTCTTTCTCTTCTCTTTCCTAACTCTCTCTTTCCCACCTCTTTCCCAGATGCTCTCTTTTCTAGCTCTTTTCTATCTATTTTCTCTCTTTCCCAGCTCTCCCAGCTCTCTTTCCCAGGCCTTTCCCCACAGGGTGGAGGACCAAGATGGCCTGGTGCCAGCCGGAACGATGAATAAACCTACTCATTACCTGAATACCATGTGCATGCTGCTGTTCTTACTCGGTTACCTCTTTTTAAAAAGCTAACATTTACAAGGAAATGGTTAGAACTAGAAGAAATCATAATGAGTGAGGTAAGCCAAGAGCAAAGAGACAAATGGCACATGGTCTCCCTGATAAGTGGAGGTTAAATCCAAAACATAAGATAATAGAACAAAATTAACAAGAATTGAGAAACAAAGGAACTCCATTCTTCTGGTCTAATCACTACTAAATAACCCCATGCTGCTGATCACATATATGGTATATATTTGCACACGGGAGGGAACCTAGGAGGAAGATACAGAACTAGAGAGAATCAGGGAAAAAGCATACAACAGTGGGACCCATCAGCTTCACTGGACATTGATCAAAAGGAACTAAGCAACTCAATGGCTGCGATGGGAGGGAGGGAATGAATGGGAAAGAGGGAACAGCTGACACTATACAAAAGGAAAGGAATGTACACATCATCTGATGTGGAAGAAATAACTCTATTGTCAAGGCTCATAGAATTCATAAACTTTATAGACAACGATAGTCAATTTGTCCCATGAAAGTTAGAGTGTGTTTGTGACTTTAACTAAGCATCACTATCCCACAATACTGTGAAATTATGTATTCAATTAATCACAATAAAGTATTTGCAAAAAAAATCGAGAGGCACATGCTCTGGAAGCATGGCACTAGTCCCTTGGGAGTCAGAGATAACCCCACACAAAGTTTCTAGAGAAGAGTTGAGCAGAGAAGCACCCAGTTATAATCCCTGCATTCAGAAGGCTGAGGGGCAGGAGGATGGCCAGTTTGAAGCCATCCTAGACGACATAGCAAAAACCTGTGCCAGACAAACAAACATCCTGATGTCTCCCAAGAAAACTAGGAGATGGGGCTTGATTTAGACTCCAGAGTGAATCAGCAGCCTGGTGGGCCGCACACTCACCGGGGCCCAGCCTTAGGGTTGACCATGCTGTGATCAAGAACAGTGCTGCACGGGGAAACTTGCTTGCTGGATGTCTCTGTCAGAGGTCGATTTCCTTAACTTCTTCATGCTGTGGAAATATCACCACCTGGATGCACTGCTGCCCTTGCCATTTCCCAGGCTTCAGACCCTATGACCTCTGACTCCTACCCCCTAACCCCTCCCAACTCACATGACCACAACAATGAGGCAGAGGGAAAGGACAGCCTTGGCACTGATGCTCAGGCCGGCAGCCATGAAAAGCGCTGTGGAGAAGCAGCTCTCACCTGCACGGGACAAGCAGGTGAGGTTAGCTGGTGGGCATTGGGGGAGCCGGGGGTAGAGGGGTAGGGAAAGTCTTGCTGAGCCTCATTCTGATCCAGGCCTTCCATTTCTCCCTTCTTCTTCCTCCCCAGTCAGCCACAGACCAGGACTCTGTTGATCAGGATTCTGGCTGTCTGTTCCCTCAAGAGGGGAGTGGTCAGCAGGTGTCCCTTGTCCCTGGGCCCTGGCGTCCCTTCCTCCACTCACAGTGCACAGAGAGACTCAGGGAGATGTGCAGGGTGCCCAGTGGGATCTGGGCCCGGCAGGTGAATTCTCCTTCATGTTCTGCCTTGACCACGGGCAGCTCCAGCACCCCAGGCTCCCTGGGCCAAGGGGGGCTCAGTGTCTGGGAACCCCAGGCCCAGCTCAGCATGGCCGGCGGGTGGCAGTGGGTGACACAGACCAGGCGCAGGCTTTGTCCCTGCAGGACACGGAGGGATGAGCCGTTCCTGCAGATTTCCAGCTCTAGGGGAGCAAGAGAGAGATGTGGCGTGCCGTCCCCACCAGTAAAGGACGCGAGAGGCCCAGCTTCCTGTGTCCCCTGTCACCTGTGCTGTTTCCTTGAGAAGCGGTCACTGTCAGCACCTCCGGAGGCTCTGCAATGGTTACACAATGGCCAGGCTCCCTCTGCCTGCGCCTTATACACAAACCGAGGCCCTGGGATTGCTGGGCCCTGGAAGCTGTGGCGCCCTGCCCCTCTCCTGGCTTCTCCCCTCTTCTTCCCCTCCCCTGCCCCTCTCCTGTCCCCCTGGGGTCCACTCACACTGCACAGAGAGGTCCAGGGCGGGGTGCTGGGAGTCTAGCCTGTTCTCCGCGTGGCAGGTGTAGAGCCCCGCATCCCTGACCTTCACCCCAGGCAGGTCTAGCCCCAGGGTTCCAGGGTGCGTGGCATTTGACCTCAAGAGGACTTGGTTCCCCAGGACCCAGGTCACCATGAGGGGAGGCCGGCCATCTGAAGTGCAGAGGAGACGCAGAAACTGGCCTTTGCCGATGTCCATGCACATCGTGTTTCCTTGGGACTCTAGGGAGAGACAGGAGAGGGCGAGAGAGAGACAGAGACATCAGAGAGGTAGACAAACACAGACAGATGCACAGAGAGAAACAGAGTTAGGCAGTGAGCTAGAGGAAGAGAAATACCCACAGACCCCAAAAGAGAGGCAGAGAGTGAGGGCTGTAGAAGGAGTTGGTCCCCTCTACCTACCCTGGGCTTTCCACTTCTCCAGGGCCAAGCCAGCCCTGCCACTGGACCTCGCACCTTGAGCATTGTCACGGAAAATGGTGATCACCAGGTCTCTGGGGGCGCCTGCAAGAAAGGTGTGGGCTCTCTTCAGGAAGGATGTGCTGTCTCCACAACTAGAGCCCCTTCTCACAGGGCCTTGTGGTTCCTGCCTTTCCTGGGACCCCCAGATATGTTTCTCCACACTCACACCAGGACGCTTTATCTGGCCAGAACTAAAGCCGGGACTCACAGGCCACACTCAGCCGGACAGTGTTCTCCACAGTGTTGCCAGCTGTGAAGTCCACTCGGCAGGTTAGCTGGGTGCCGTGTTCCCTCGGGCGTGGTGTGAGGCTGATTGCTGACAGGAAGGAGGTCTGGGGTCTGCTCTCAGTGGTGGAGAGGGCAGGCCCTGACCAGGAGATGGAAGGGGCCACACATTGCTGAGAGATACAGGGAACCATGCAGATGATGGTCACTGCTAACCCAGGCTCTAGGGTCTCGGGAATGAAGATGTGCGGCTGAGTTAGGGCTGGGGGAGAGAAAGACCAGATGCTCATGATCAGGCCGTGGTCCGGAGACCCTGCCTCCATCCCCAGCCTGGGAGCCCAGGCCCCACACACCCCACCTGTCACTTCCAGCCAGAACTGGTCCATTTGGAAATTATATTTCAGCTTCTCTCCCTTCTCTACCCGGAAGAAGTAATTTTTCTCATCCTCTTTCCGGGCATCTCTGATGAACAGGGTACAGTCATTCTTGTGGGGGTCTCCCAGCTGGAATCGACCCTGAGTCCATCCTTGCATTGGTCGAGCTGGGTTGGTGGTAGCCACGGGTTCCCCAGTGGCTGTGTTGGTTCCTTGTGTGAACCAGTAGCCATGAGCTGGAGAGAAATCTGGACCTGCCTCCTGGCTGGGGTAGGAGAAGGAACAGGGCACGAGGACCCAGAGCCCTTCCTGCACTTTCACCTGGCTCTGCACCTGCACCTTGTAGCCCCGTTCCTGAACCTGGGACCCTGTGGGGAGATAGACGGACTCAGTTCGCATCCCAGCCCTGTTCCAGCCCAGCTGCCCACGGCTCTTGGCCATATACCGCCCAAGGACAGCAGCAGCAAGGAGAGGCACAGCTGTGTGCTCAGACGCTGCATCCTGAGCTGCTCTGAGTCGATAAGAGCAGGGACAGGAGGGAAGTGCAGGAGGCTGAGTTGTGGCGACACACGTGATGCGCACTTCTGCCAGGGAGGCCAAGGCTGGCAGGGGCCTCGCCCAGGAGCCCATCTCCTGGGGGCTGGGACGTCTGCTGGGCCTTTGAATGTGGGGATCTGGGCCTCCTCAGACTCCTCTGGGGCAAGGAGGAGAGACGCCAGGCCTGTGTCTAGCTTTGGGGCCTGGCTGGGTCTGAGGGAAGGATGGGGACTCTCCCCTGGGCCCTGGGCAAGGGACTCTGGGGTGCAGAGGGAACTCCTCTGTGTGTGTGCTTAAATGGACTTTCAGACTTAAAAAACTGCTCCATCTTCCTTTTTTTTTCTTGGTATAACAAAAACTGGAACAGGAAGGGCTGGGAAGGTGGCTCAGTGGCAGAGTGCTTGCCTAGCATGCATGAAGCCCTGAGTTCGACGCCTCAGCACCACAAACACTAAAAAAGCCAGAAGGGGCACTGTGGCTCAAGTGGTAGAGTTCTAGCCTTAAGCAAAAGAAGCTCAGGGACAGTGTCCAGGCCCTGAGTTCAAACCCCAGGACTGGCAAAAACAAAACAAAACAAAAAACAAAAACCCCTCCAACATTGATTGGAGAACTTAGGCTGAGAAAAGTTTTTTTTTGCTATTAAAATTCAAACTTGACAGATCTTCCTCTTTTTTCTTTTCTTCCTCCTTTTCCTGCTTCTTCTTCTCCTTCTTCTTCTTCTTCCTCTCCTGTTTTATTCTTCTTCATTTGGTGATCCTTCTACAGTTTGGACTCAGGGCCTGGACACCACCCTTAAGCTTTTCCATGGAAAGCGAATATTCCTCCACTTGAACCACACACCCGCTTCTGGCAAATTGGAGATTAGCATCCAATGAAATTTCCTGCATAGGTTGGCTTTGAATTGCGATCCTCACATCTCAGCCTCCAGATAGTTGCGATTAGAAGGTGTGAGACCCAGATGCCCAGCTCTTTTATTATTATTTCTTTCTCCTGTACATCAACAACCGTATGCCTTTCTCTGGCCCTGTCTTTATACTCTCCCCCTATTCCTGTCCCCGTAAGCTTTAGTTCCCCAGACGATTCTTATCTTTGTCCTCATTGCTTCTTCCTAATTGGGCAGGACATGGTATCATAGTACCATTCACTACCCCACCGTCCACAAAGATGGCTTAGAGAGATCATGAGGACAATGGGCAGGGTGTGCAGAGGCTGGGATAAAGGCTCCACCCCAGTCCCTGTCTCTCCTGACCCTTTCTGGAAGGACTGTTAGTCCTGGGCACCCCACCTCCCAGGAAACCCAGAGGCAGACCCTGCAAGGCCAGCTGCTTTGATTAATGAAGAGTCTCAGAACTGGCAGGAACTTACCGCACACTGGAAAAGGCCTTGGGACCTGCACACCCACACACCAATTGAGTAGCTACAGAGCGTATACAGATTCTTTTTTCTGTCCTTGTCATTATTCCCTAAACAATAAACCACAGCGATGAGTTACACAGAGTTTGTGTCAGGTATCAGTCATGAGAACCCAGACAGCAGAGTCACAAGTTCAAAGCCAGTCTGCCCCCTGGATGCAGGGTGTGGGCTATAACTTGAATTCCCCCACTGCAGGGGACGGCTGGCTGCTTCAGCCATGTGGACACCAGGGGGCACTTGGAGTCCAGGTTTCTGCAATAGGCTTGGTCCCATGCAAAATGAGAGATTGCTGGGTGGAATGTGGGGTCCTCCCTGAGCCTGCAGCTTGGGGAGAAGGCTCTGTAGGTAAATGCTAGCAATGTCACATCAACGCTTGAGATTTGCACTAGTATGTGTCACAGGGTGGGGGTGAGGGTGTCCTAGGGTGCCATCCTAGTTTGAGGGTTCATCATTCTCATACATCTAACTTTGTGCCAGTAAGTCATGCAATAAACATGGGTTTATTCATCTTTGTGTAAGCTATGTGGAAAGAGTCTGACTCCTTTTGTGTTCATGCAGATAAACTTTCTGTATGTTTGTTCTGGTCCTGGGGCTTGAACTCAGGATATAGACACTGTCCCTGAGTTTTTATTCACAAGGTTGTAGCTCTACTACTTGAACCACAGCTCTGCATCCAAATTTTGGTGGTTAATTGGAGAGAAGAGCCTCATGGACTTTCCTGCCCAGGCTGGCTTCAAACCATGGTCTTCAGATCTCAGCCTCCCGAGTAGCTGGAATTATAGGAGAGAGCCAACGAGCTCCCAGCTAACTGCCTCTTTTGGAGGAAACAGGAAGGGACTTCCACAGGGTTGGACTGTTTTACATGAAGGGAGCAGGGTCCAGTGCCTGGATAGCCATGCAAACACTTATTAGTTGTTTTTTGTTCCATGACAATTATCCAACCAAGTGGCCTGCAGTACTGCAGTTTTGGTTGAGTTTTGCATTTCCTCAATGTTGAATGTCTTCTGTGCTCCAGGTTCTTATGGGTATTTGAGGGGTGATCACTGATGTGACTGTGGTGCTGTGGGCCATATCCGTGGTCCATGACGCTGGCCTTAAATCGGGTGACCATTGAGAGCCACCTGGGGAGCAGACTCACACACGCTTCCAGCAGGGTGCAGGCTGGGCCTGGGGATGGGCAGGAAGAGGACAGGTGGGGGAACAGAGGTAAGAGGCTATGGAAGGAAAGTCCAAGAGGCAGAGGCTTCCTGTGTACAACGTGGCATTCATCCCATCTCTGTCTACAGAAGAACTTCAGGTGGTTCAGCTGTGGTGGTGGCAGGTGCTGGCTGAGTTTAGAAACGGAAGCCAGTGTGGGTGAGGGGGCGGGGTGGAGGAGGGAGGCATGGAGGAAGGTCTGTGACAAGGGAAGATACCAAGGGCAGGATGGAGGTAGGATTGGGAAAGGGGAAAAGACAGAATGAATAGAGCCAGGTGCTGGTGGGCTGTAATCCTAGCTACCCAAGATGCTGAGATCTGAGGATCATGGTTCAAAGTTACCTGGGGCAGGAAAGTTCCTGAAACTTCTTCATCCCTGGTGTGGGATAGCATCATGTCTTACACCTTACACCTGCCCTCACTTGCACAGATACAACTCTCTGATGTGATGCACCTGCTACATGGCTTTTATGAAGGACACTTACAGTTCCTGACACAGAGCCCCAATAACCCAATTAAAATATGGGTCCTATACCCAATGGGATCTTACGACATCTTCAACATGGAGTGGAGCACTGGCAAATCCTGAAAGCAGAAGCTTAGAAAGCCACATTCTGGCCACGTGTCGCTCACAGAACACCAGAGCAGAAGACCTGCAAGCTACTGGTGGTGATCCGGAGAGCGCAGAGACAAACCCCAGTGCCCAGAACCTGCACGGAGACCCCTCTGCCACCCCTCGGCTGGAGGCCGGTGAGCAGCCCAAGCCCGAGGAGTGGCCCTTACCCAACACAAACACATACAGCACCAACAGAGGCAGAGACAGAGGAGAAACAGGCAGAGCCAACACTGCCCAGCCCAACCCACAAGCATCTCAACTGAACTCCGATTACAGCGGCAACCAGCGACCTACATCACACAGAAACAACAAGTAGCTCCAGGGTGAGTACCTCGCAGGGGACAGTGTATCTCTCAAGGGAGACCAGAGCTGGTGGGAACCCCTAGAACTTGACCCAGACCCTACCCCAACAACTGGACTACAGGACCAACTAGAACTGGGAATTGTTCGAGAGATCCACTGGCCTGTGGAGCACATCCAGCCAGCCAGGCTAGAACAAGAGCACCCCTGGAAGGGAGCTTAAACACCCAAGCCAGGAACAGTGCCCATGGGTCACAGCAACCAACAGTGAAAGAAACTTGAACTGTGTACTACAGGCTGCATAACAAAAGCAGGATACACAGCAGCACAGGTCCAACTGCTGTGCCCCAGGCCGGGGAACAGGAGATAGGACCAGTCTTGGGGATCAGGTGCCTGAGCAACACAACCAACTCCTCCCAATTGAAGTCAGAAGGTGAGCATATGCCTCAGCAGAGGTGGGGAAAACAGGGAACTTTACCCCCGAGAATAATGCTCATGACAGCAAAAAGACATGGGTGTCCAGGGCAAGAGAACCAGAAGCCCAAACCCCACCAGAACCTGACACATATATCCCAGGCCAGGAATTAGACAACACAGGCCACCAGCACCTGATAATAGTCAGGAGCTCAGGCTGGTAAGGAGGCTCAGCGGTAGAGTGCTTGCCCTGTGTGCATGAGGCCCTGGATCTGATTTCAAGGCACCACATAAGCAGAAAGGGCCAGAAGTGGTACTGTGGCTCAAATGGTAGGGAGCTACCCTTGAGCTGAAGAGCTGAGGGGCAGTGCCCAGGACCAGAGTTCAGACCCCACAACTGGCCAAAAAAAGAAAAAAGAAAACAACCCCCCCAAAACACAAAAACAAAAAACAAAACAAAACAAACAAACAAACATCGGGAGCCCATAACAGACTCCAGCAACTGGGAGAGTATATCCAGCATACCTAATCTCGCCAAGAGCAACTGTAGGATTAAACAGGAGCAGTCTAGGCCACTCAGCCGTTCTAAAGGCAGGAACCCAATTAAAATGTGTGTCATCCACCCAATTGGATCTTACGATGGCTTCCAAATGGTGTGGAGCACTGGCAAATCCTGAAAGCAACAGCTTAAAAAGCCACATTCTTGACACGTGTTGCTCACAGAACGCCAGAGCAGAAAAGGCTTTTGATAAGATACAACATTCATTCATGTTAAGAGCTCTGGAGAAAATAGAATAGAAGGAACATTTCTTAAAACAATAAAAGCCATATCCGACAGAGCAATAGCCAATATTATACTTAATGGGGGAAAACTATAAGCAATTCTTCTAAAATCAGGAACTAGGCGAGGATGCCCACGGTCTCCACTCCTCTTCAATATAGTCCTGGAACCCTTAGCCAGGCAATAAGGCAAGAAAAAGACATTAAAGAGATTTGCATAGGGAAAGAAGAAGTTAAGCAATGCCTTTTTGCGGATGACATTATACTATACTGTC